ACGACTTCTTTGGGGTAGTTCAATGAGAAATTGTTATGTGGCTATGCCCCCTTGCCTTTCTACAGTAGATCCTGCATTTTGGTGAATTGTTGTGCGTTCTCTAAGTAGAAACACTTCAAGAGGAGCTGTTTTTACTTGCACAAAAAACAATACCATAAAACTCACACTCCACAAGTCAATCTTTTGTTTAATCTTTTTCTTTTCTTTCTTTCTTTTTTTTTTTAGACACAGTTTTTGCTACTTGTTGCCCAGCTGGAGTGCAAATGCATGATCTCAGCTCACCACAACCTCTGCCTCCCAGGTTCAAGTGATTCTCCTGCCTCAGCCTCCTGAGCAGCTGGGATTACAGGCATGAGTCACCGTGCCCAGCTAATTTTGTATTTTTAGTAGAGACAGGGTTTCTCCATGTTGGTCAAACTGGTCTCGAACTCCCGACCTCAGGTGATCCTCCCGCCTCAGCCTCCCAAAGTGCTGGGACTACAGGTGTGAGCCACTGCGCCCGGTCTGTAAATCTTATCAGACAGAATAGCTTCCCTCATCCCATTTAGGGCTAGATATGATTATGGTTTCTCTCTTCCAATGAGTTTTCTCCCCAGTCAGCATCTATTACTGATAGCAGCTGAGCTATATGTGAGTAGGGAGGAGAGGGAAAGAATGGGGCTAGAGAGAGGCCTGACCTGGTGATAGTTGGAGAGGTTGCTATGCATGTCAGCAATGTCCTCACTGGATACTTCTTTGATGACCAGAGTCCGATCGTAGGAGATAAGGAAGCGACCATCACTGCCTTCACTTTCGCTGGGGGGGTTTCGGGTAAGGGACACCTGGGGACACAAAATGGGCCAGAGGCTCTTTTCCTCCCCCTTTATATGCAGAAACAAGTCATAAGAAAATGGTCAGCTGAAAGTGGATGAATCCCTGGGGTAGGAGATTCAGCACAGGTTCCTCATCAGGTGTTCATATGTGGACTGAAAGAAACTGAATGCAAAATTCTTTTTTTTTTTTAATTTTTTGACAAGGAGTCTCACTCTGTCACCCAGGCTGGAGTGTAGTGGTGCGATCTCAGCTCACTGCAATCTCCACCTCCCAAGTTCAGGCAATTCTCCTGCCTCAGCCTCCCAAGTAGCAGGGACTACAGATGTGCACCACCACACCCGGCTAATTTTCGTATCTTTAGTAGAGACAGGGTTTTGCCATGTTGGCCAGGCTGGTCTCAAACTCCTGACCTCAGGTGATCTGCCCACCTCGGCCTCCCAAAGTGTTGGGATTACAGGCGTGAACCACCGCGCCCGGCCAAAATTCTTAATGTATCTACATCTTTTCCCCCAAGGACAAGGTTTATAGTTTTCATTTAATTTTTGAAAATGCTGCAATCACAAAAAGGTAAAGAATCATATTTGCCAAGGCTTCTCATTTCTCCAAATATGGCTGTCCCAAACAGTACTCCTCAGTTGCTGGGGAGAAAGGGCTACCCTCACCCCTTAATGGACTCTCACCAAGTAATCTTGGTCATCAATGCCAAATCGATCACGGAGGTTCCTGAAGACCTGGGGACAATACTCCTTGAACTTGAAATGACTGGGTAGATTTTCCCTGAAATTCAGGTTTTTAAAGTAAGAAAACAAACAATATTACATTTACATACACTTGGTAGTTTATAGTGTACCTTCAGACATATTACCTCCTTTGATTCTCATAAAACTCTGTTAGGTCCTTTATTTATTTTTTATTATTATTATTTTTTGAGACAGAGTCTCACTCTGTTGCCAGGTTGGAGTGCAGTGGTGCAATCTCGGCTCACCGCAACCTCCGTCCCCTGGGTTCAAGCAATTCTCCTGCCTCAGCCTCCCAAGTAGCTGGGACCACAGGCATGTGCCACCATGCCTGACTGATTTTTTGTATTTTTAGTAGAGACAGGGTTTTGCCATATTGGCCAGTCTGGTCTCGAACTCCTGACCTCAAGTGATCCACCTGCCTTGACCTCCCAAAGTGCTAGGATTACAGGCATGAGCCACCACGCCTGGCCCTTGCGAGGTTCCTATAAAAAATAAATTATTTCCATTTTATAGAAGGGAAGACTGTCTCAGAGTGACTCAGTGATTTGCCTAAGTAACATGGTTGGTAAGTGGTATAGTAGAACCAGGATCTACTACCCATCCAAACAGCAGCCATTTCCCAAATCTCAAGCAAGTCAGAGGCATTCCAAAGTCAGCAACAGACACCACTGTTTTGAATGGCATCTTCTTTTACTAGGAGGGCTT